TTACCATTATTACAATATTTCCCCCAACAAAATGTATGGTAGCAAATATTATACACCTCCAGCGTTTTCAGTTCGTTATATTGTTATTTTGTTTATTATTCATTTCATATGAATTTAGTTTAATTTTGTGTTTCCAAAATTATTTAATTTTATCTCGAAATCTTCATTTTGTTATGAAAAAAACTTCTACTTCAATATTTTATTTTTATTTTTTTGCTGTTAAATTGTGTTAATTATTTTTGCTTACTTATTTGTTGCATTGTATGTATGTATATTTCCCAAATGGCTTATGCAAAAATTTCACTAATTCAAAATTCGTTTCATTAAGGTTTTTCATTTAATATAGTAATTTAATATATACTAAACACAAGTATATATTTCCCATTATAAATATAATATTATATGTATCTATGTTATCAAGAGAAAAAATAAATAAAAAATAGTCCATGGCGGTAAATATTTACTCTCTGCTGAATCAGAATTAAAAAAAAAAATATTACAAATTAAAAATAAAAAATCTAAAAATATTTTTTAAAATTAAAACTTAAACTGTTTAGAATAAACGGCTCTCTTTTAGAAGCAGACACTCGAGCTGACCACAATACCATGCCCACTGGATGCTGAACTTTAACTTTAAATGCATTTTTATAAAGAACTAAATTTCATTTTTATTTTAAATTTCAATTTTAAATTGTGTACAGTTAGCAGATCTATAAACTCTAGTTTAGTGTCTAATTTAGTGTTTTGCAAGTTTAGTGGCTACCTTAGCGCAGAACGAAAGCTTCTTTGCCTTAAAACCCATCCTTCTTCCTCTTTAATGCAGACAAAACACTATTTCATTAGAAACCTAAGTCTTGTTCTTGATATTTGTTAACTTTTACAGTTACTCAACATATACATGTGTAATATGTGACGTTGAGCTCACTTTCTGAAAACGCCACTTGGAATCACTTGGCTGTAATTATGAATACAAAATCTTAAACTCGTGTAAGTTAAACTTTTTTTCAAATTTCATAAACACAAAACTTTTAAACTCGAGTTTTCGAAGCAACGGTGACGTACTGTGAAATATTTGGAGCGTCAAAACATTTCATTTTTCGCCATAAAATACTAAAACATGGCCGTTTCCAGGTCCAAGTCGGATCAATTTAATCTAGGTTTTTATTCAGCAAGGAACTGTCAGCTGTCATTTCAGCAACAGAAAATGCGAAAATTGCCACAAAATCATCTTAAAATTTGGCAAGGAACTGTCAGCTGTCATTTCAGCAACAGAAAATGCGAAAATTGCCACAAAATCATCTTAAAATTTGGCAAAGAACTGTCAGCTGTCATTTCAGCAACAGAAAATGAAAATGACAGCCTAAATTTTATGTAAAAATTCCTCAGCCAATAGTTTTCGCTGATTTCTCCGAAAACGCGCAATGCCTAAAATAGGCCAGGTAAGTGGCCTTTTTTCTATAATTTTCTTTTTAATCCTTTTCAGTTGCACCATTATGCAAATAATTGTTACAAA